GCTGAGATACTAACGCACTGAACACACTGACTGACGTTCACGGTTTATCCTGGAGCAACTGTCCCGGCATCTGCACTGATGGTGCAAAAGCAATGAAGGGGAGACCTCTGGTGCCTGAGCGTCTATTAGGCGATGCTACCAAACCGTGGTATAGTCGCTGTGTTCCCACTGCCACCAGGCACACAGACAGACACGCGATAGATAAAGATGACAGACAGGTAGATGACAAGAAGGTGACAGTTTCATCTGACAGAGTCCTTGATGAAATAGCAGGAATTAATGTTACTCAACTGTGACTCTTGTGGCCCATCTGTGTAACAATGGGACGCAAATGATGGTTTTCTTGAGGAAAAGCACTTGTGAGATTATTGGAGTTGCCGGCTGAACAAAGCACTTTTTTCTTGGAATGCCATTTTAGTGTGAAAGAATGACAGACAAGCTGGTTATTCAGACCTGGGTGTGTGGCAGATATTTTCTTAAAAATTAATGAGGTGAGCCTGTCACTTCAAGGAAACCACCTGACGGTATCTACTGTGAGCTTGCTAGCTTCCCCAAACCCAAAGACTTTCTATAGAGACCAGGGGTGATAGTAACTAATGCAGTTTATTTTATTTTATTTTTTTTTAAATCCTCACCGGAGGATATTTTTGCTATTGCTTTTCAGGGAGAGTGGAAGGGAGAGAGAGAGAAACATCGATGTGAGATACACACATTGATTGGTTGCCTCCCACACGCCCCACAGGGATCAAGCCTGCAACTGAGGTAGGTGCCCTTGGCTAGAATTGAACCCAGGACCCTTTAGTCTGAGGGCTGACACTCTAACCATTGAGCCAAATGGGCTGGGGCAGTAACTAATGCAATTTGGGGGGATGTTTTATAATGAAATATGGCAACATTTAGAAGAACTGAAAAACTGAAAAACCATTATTTTCTGAATGATCAATGCATAAAAGTACAGAATCACGCATGGGTAAAAGAGCTACTCAAAGTGCAAAACAGGCAAAACGCCAGCTGGAATTATGAAGTGAGACTTCCGAAAATCCATTCCTCCATAAAAGCAAGGCGAACACTGGCAAAAATTATCAAAATCAGTTTCTTTAGAACTCTGGAAATTAACCAGAGGATTGAGACAATCTGGGGAGCATTTACTCAAGAAAAAAATGGCTAGCTCTCAGGAAGAGCACAAATGGGGCATTAAAACTTTCCCTACTCCTCTCACTCTCTCCCCTGCTCTTTGAAAACCACTGGTCCTGCAATCAAAGCAAAAACCAGCAGCCAGTCAGTCACTGGAGGTGGCACCCAGAAGGCCCCATTCCCAGAGAACTGTCATATTCGACCTGCCTAACAATTCCCCGGAAACCTTATCATGACGCTTGTCTTTACTGACCTGAGGGCTGGCTCAGTGATAAGGAAACATGAGTCATTTGAAGCCAGAACATTGGAATCAGGACTCCTTTGGGAACATGTAATGCAAATTTAATATAAAAGTAAATTGTATTAAATAATACAATAAAAGCACTGGATGAGATGTGTTTGAACCCTTAAATTGTAGTTGTCACATGTCCATTTTCCTGTGTGTCCTTCCAAGCTTATCTAATGATGGTTTTATTTCCTGGGAGGTTTAAAGGGTCTGGATCTTGTGGGCCACGCGACGATAAGAAACAATTTAGGAAATAATGAAAACACCTGCCCAGGTGCCATCTTCTCTCCCTCCTCCTGCCGTGAACGCTCAGCCTCTCCCTCTACTGGACCTTCCATCAGCATTTTAACCTGCTCAGGTCCCCCTCAAATTAAAGCAAAACAAAAATGCCCCGTTTAGCTACCATCCAACCTTCTCCTGTTCACAGCCAGATCTGTGGAAAGAGCTGATGTACTTGTTGCTCCATTCTCTCACCTCCCACTGTTCCCCCGCCGCCCAGTTCGGCTTTTGCCCACCAGTCTACGACAGCGCTCAGCAATTGACCTCCGGCACGGGCCCCTCGTGCCTCACTTCTCACCCCATCGAATCTGAGCCCCGCGGCCAGGCCTCTCTTCGCTTCTCACCCACACACCTCCTCCCACCCCGCCCAGGGTCAACAAAGAGGGTGTCACGCCCGTACCTTTCTGCTGCGCGGGTACATAAGCACATACATAGTTCGTAAGGATGTGTGTTTACATGTTTACTTTTGTCTGACATAGAATCATACTGTGCACATTACTTTGCAATTTCCTTTTTCCATTTGACATTATGTCCTGGACAGTCTACAAGGCTGTCTACCTTTGAATGCTTTTATTCTGGCACATAAATGTATGTATATCAGTCATAGTTAAATAAGTGTTAATAATGGAGCAAGTCATTCCATTTTCAGAAATTAGAAAACATTAGATTTTGCACCTGGGGGTCCTTTTAAGAGTGTCCAGTGGAGCAGGATCTGTGGTCGGGGTTGTAAGTGTGCAGATTTCTTTTTTTTAAAATATGTTTTTATTGATTTTTAGAGAGAAGGGAGAGAGAGAAATAGAAACCTCAATGAGATCAATCTTCCTGCAATGGGGATCGAGCCCAACACCCAGGCATGTGCCCTGACTAGGAATTGAACTGGCAACCTCTTAGTGCACAGGTTGACGCTCAACTTGCACTGAGCCACACCGGCTGGGCGAGTGCGAATTTCAGCTCAGTGTGAGGTGACGTGAGCACGTGCCCTCAGCCGCTGGACCCTCTCCAACAGAGCCACTGTATCTTCGGAGGCAAGAAGCAACCAACTGAAAACAGCAGCTCCGCTATCTGTGATTCGGGTCTAACTATTAAATTAAAAAAAGTTTTACATTGCTGAGCAAGATGACGTATGACTCTACGCTCTGAGAATGCTGTCTCTTCAAAGTCGTCACCTTGGGAGGTGACAGCCACATTCCAACAACAGTGCCACTTGCTCAAGTGATTCTTGGAAATTTTCCTTTAAGCATCTCTCACTTTTTTTTTCCTTTCTAATTTTAAAAGGCTATTTAAAAAGTAACACCTGCCCTTGGAGAAAGCTGAGTAAAATAGAGACAGGCCACCCTAGCTAATACTCCTCGGGGAACCATGAGGGAGGGAGAGTCCTGAGATCATGACAAAGAGTTGAGTTATGGCCCCAAACACCAGATCTTTCCCTTACAATTTCCCATCCAAACCACTCATAGGAACCTTCTGAAAACTCTAGTTATCACAAGTATTTTCAAACACTACCCTCTTAAAATAAAAATCTATAGAGTTTCGAAAAGCCCAGAAAATTAAAAGATCTCTATATTTCTTCATTTATGGCAGACTATAATTGCTGCCATAGGGAAATTTCCAAAAGTTGAATTTCCATCATTAACTAGAACAGTTGAACCAAATGAATTTCCCCTTGCAATACAAAAAGGAGTTGATAGCAACAAAACCAAACCAAACAACCCAAAGCAGTAACACAGAAAAGGGAAAAATAGGTCTTGAGAAGAACCTGTGTCTGGAAGCCAGCAAGCTCAGAATAATTTTCACATTTTTAAATATTTGGGGGAAAAATGTAGTGACACATAAAAATCCTATGAAATTCAAATGTTACTGTCCATAAATAAAATTTTATGGGACCACAGCCACAGTCATCCATTTATTCATTGTCCATAGCTCCTTGAGTGGTTCAAACAGAGACCCTGTGGCCTGCAAAGGCCAAAATATTTACTATCTTCCTCTTTACAGAAGAAGTGTGCTGATCCCTGTTCAAAACTAGAATTTACTGCCATTAAATCTCTGGTGGCCTGAGGCTGGTCCCCTCCCCTCTCTGGTTCGCCTTTGAGGAGGAAGGGCCGGTGCAGGCCTGGATCCCAGCTGAGGAACAGAACTGCGCTTGTCCCACTAGGCTGCGCGAGCGAGAACACCTACTGGTGCCACCTACGGCCCATGAAGAAAATGGCAGGTGGACCGTCACTGGCAGGTCTCAGCACAGCTGTCCTCTCCGGTGGAGGGCTCTTAAATGAATTATCTGCCCAACTGATGACATCAATGAACAGAAACTTGGCTTCTACACACCTTTTAAACTGAAAGACCAAAACTCCAAATAAAAAGGCATCTCCCAGCATTCACTCCCCACAAAACAGAAACAATGCAAATCATTTACTGCCATGGAGAACTGAGAGGACACCGCGTACGTTTTTTCTGGGTCTGGAGGGAAACCAGTGAGAAGGCTTGACATCTGCAAATCCCACTTCAGCCCGAGCCACCTTTCCCACACCACTTTCCGAGACTCGCCCACATTCCTTCTGAGCCTTCACTCTCTTAACAGCTCAGGAAACCATATCAAAAGAATGCAAAATAACAGAGTAAACCAGATAATTCTGCCAGCTCTGAACCACGCCCTGCACTGGCGCTCCGCTCCTCAGCACTACGGATCCTCACTGTGAGCCTCGTGCCTGATGTCCCCTCTGCAGAAGATAGGTAGAGGCTCAGGCCCCTTCAAAGCAAAGAAGTCCTGTCATCTTTTGACCTCCGACAAATCCCAAGTGCCACGGAATGTGGCATCCCCTTGTCAGCTGCAGGATGCCTACCTCCCCGAAGCCCCCCAGCAGCCCCCCACCCTGACTCTCCTGCTGGTGGAGTCTGGCTGACGGCCACACCCGGGCTGGTCCGGGTTGCACCCTGAGCAGAACACAGCAGAAGCGATGCTCTGAGACCACTGAGCCCAGCTAAGGACCAGACGCTTTCACTTGTTCCCTCGTGGAGCCCAGTGGCCAACTGAAAGGAAGTCTAGGCTGGACCACGGAGTGACCAGAGGCCACACGGAGAGAGGCCACAGAGGGTGCGAGCCCAGCTTGGACACGGAGAGCAGAACCACGTGACATCCCCCGAATGACACCAGCAGAAACCCCCCAGCTGAACTCCAGCCTACAGAACCGGGAGCAAAGCAGCTGGGAGAAAAATCTCCATTTTGGGACTAACTTTTACGGCAGGGAAGGGACTCAGAATAGCCTGACATGAGCTCCCTATGTGGCATCAGAAGGGTTGAACTCACTTCATCATCTTCGTCTTCATCATCGTCGGATTCGAGACCAGCAGCCGGGGGCTCTTCTAGAAAAGAACAATCAGTGAGTGGCTTCCGCACAGCTGGAGGCCTTGGTCGACAAAATCCTCGGCCTCTACGGAGACGCAAAACACCCTAATGAGAATTAGGTGACATCAAAGCAATCATGTTCTTGGTACCATTTCTGCCATAGTTTGATAGCGTCCTAAGCAATTTTAAATACATCTCTCCATTTTTATCAGAGCACATTAGCAGTAGCGTGAGAAAAATTAAAAGCCAACATACAATTTCAGAGGCATGCGGGGGGGAGTAAGCTAGTCTCACTGCTGGGCATCATGCTACATAAAGATTTTGTTGGCTCTTATCCCCATTTTATAGCAAACGGAGACAGACAGCATAAGGGACCTGTTTATGGTCACACTCCCTGTAAGTGACAGAATTGAGATTCAAATCAACTATTTGTAAATCCCATGATTTTTCCAGAGAGGTAGTGGTCACGGCAGGTAGGGTCCTGAAGGCTCCTGTGGTTCACTGCTAGGTCTTTTTTTTTCTTTTTTTCCAATATGTCTTTATTGATTTCAGAGAGAAGGGAGAGGGAGAGAGAAACATCAATGATGAGAGAGTCATTGATCAGCTGCCTCCTGCACGGTCCCGACTGGGGATCGAGCCTGCAGCCTGGACACGTGCCCTGACCAGGAATTGAACCTTGGTCCCATGGGTCATAGGTCGATGCTCAACCGCTGAGCCACGCCAGCCGGGCTCACTGCTAGGTCTTAAAAGAGCTTACAAAGGAGGAATAAATTAGTAGCACAATGGAGTCACAGAAGGAATGAGCCTGCTTCTTCATCTGTAAAATGGGTATGAAACCACCTACTTCCTAGGGTGTTGGGGATCTCACAGCACACCTGACTTAAACCACCTGGCCCAGGGCTGGGCACCCGGCAGGCATTACACAGAAGTTGCTCTCTCCATGAAACCTTCCCGATTCCTCACCGAGCAGCAACCAGTCTCCCCTAGACATACTCGGCATTTTATCTACAACTCTGATAACGATCACCGCTTATGGATGATCGATGTTTTCTGATGATGGCTCCTCACTTGTCTGGGTGTTTCGTCACCTCCTGCACAGTACTCCAGACACAGGTGGTGGCAGGGCCATTTCACGGACTTTTAACTAGTAAATTCCTACTAATTCCTACTCTGCTGTTAGTTTGCCCCTGAGGATGAAGCGGGACTGGGTGGGCTCTCCAGCTCGCCCTCCTAGCTCCATCGCAGTGCTGGTCTGTTGGTTTGGATGTGAGGCTGAGGACACTTGCTAAGGTATTTGTGCACTTATGTCTGGTCCTCCAGCCAAATGTCCCACAACTTTCTAATTTTGTTTCCAAGTAGCAGACTCCTGGGCCATCATCTCTGGGTACAGAATAACTTGGGTGCTTGAGACAAAAGGGAAATATTCTAGATAGTATTTACTGAAACTGGAACTTACCGAGTTAGGCAGGTATTTCCAAGCCCTTCCTGAACACACAGGTTACACATCCCAGCTCTGCCCAGATAACCACTTGCCAAAGCACATCCCCGACAGAAACGTAAACTGAAACCCTCCCTCCCCACATTCTTTGGCTGTTGGTCCAAGGGCCAGTTTTGTGGAAGGAAAAGAGATATTTTTTAGCCTGAGAGCTACAGTGAGGGGCCCACCCTGATCTTGGCTGCCTGGGAGGTGGGAGACTGACCAGGAAATGGACGTGGTGAATGTCGATAAACTGAAACAGTTGGCCCTGAAGGAGGGTCCCAACCCCCACGTGACCCCACAGCTACAGAGGAACTCTGGCTCTGGAGGGAGGTCTCAGCAGAGCTGGTGACCCTGGAGAAGACAGGGAATGACTTTCCCAGCATTTCACCACCTTCCCAAGCTGAGGCCTGTCTACCCAGAGAAGGTTGGGAAGCAACCTCAGCCAGGACTGAGGGCAAGGTTTTCTTTCTGTTTGTTTTTTTAATATGTCCACCCAGCAGAACAGGGCGTCAAAGCCAGAATCTGAGTTGTCGCAGAAAATCAAGTCCTAGACCTTGCCTGCCTGGATTTAAGATGAATTATACTTGCTTTCTAAACACCAAAGGAAGGATGTTCAGGTAGAAATGGGCCCTCGGCCTGAAGGGAACTGAGCTCTCGAACCCTGGATGCTGTCCGGCTGCCTCCTGTCCATCAGGAGCCCTGTAAGGTTCTCCTATGTCTCCCCTGACCCGTTTCCAAGGCAGGGATTCGCCACCTTGGCTGCACACTGGAATCACCTGGAAGCTTTAAACACCATTCACACCTGGGCCCCCACAGAGGTTCTGATTTAATTGGGGTGGGGTCGCCCTGTGCACCATGAGCTGGAGGAGCTACCTGCGGACTTCTTCCAGGGAAGGGAGCCTGGCATCTCCCTTTGCTTGGCCTTGGTCAAGTTGCTGACTTGAGATCAGAGTTGAGATCAAGAGATTCATTTTTACCTTGTTTGTGTGCTGAACAGATTTGTGCACTTGGACCTTCAGTGATGTGGACTTTTGGGTGCCGAGAAAGGACAGATAGACGGACACAAGTGACACGTTGGCCCCTGGATGCTGGCAGTGCCAGGTGCCCTTAGTTCGTGTACAAGTCAGGATGAAGGTGTGAAGAGTACACAGAAGGAGCTAAAAGTTTCTCCACCATCCCAGTCCCATCTAAGGCTTCCTTCACTGGCCTTTTCTGCTCATTATGGGATGCGGGTTGTCATGGTAATGGAGGAAGCCAAATAGAAAGACCACCTCCTCCCACGCGGTCAGTGGCAACAGACTTTTCCTGGAGTGAATGAATGCAGGATCACATTTTCTGCACTGGTGTGACAGACTGGCATCTGTCTTCACTGCCTCTCTAGGACTTGGGGAAGCCTCTCTTTGGAGATGGGGGAAGAATTAGGAGGGGGAGACCCACATAAAGAGAACCTACAGTTAGAGAAGTGTTTCTGTGATTGCTTTTGAATTCTTTTTGTTGACTATAAGCCTGAAGTGTGATGAGCGATCATTGATTTGGTGACAATGTGGCCTTGACTACCTGGCTGAGCTTCTGTTTCTGGGCTCACCTGGGCTCCTGAATAAACTCTGAGGTACGACAAGCCCCCTATGAGTACCCTCGCATCTTCAGGGCATGTGTGACCCCTATAAGTGCCCTAGCATCTTCCAGGCACATGTGACCCCTCTGAGCGCCCTCTCATCTTCCAGGCACATGTGACCCCTATGGGTGTCCTCGCATCTTCTGGGCAAGCGTGAAAGATTCAAAGGATAGACCACAGGTTCTTGCACCAAACGGACCTGAATTCAGCTGCTTGATGATGAACTCGATCTGGCGGGTCATTTCAGCGTTTCCCTCTTTCATGAAGCAGCGGAGGATGTCTTCCATTCCCTAAGGCGAGGGAGAGGAACCATGAGCATTTCCATTTTGTGGAGGCGGGGAAACTTTTCAATGGGGTGGTTTCAGCTAACCCCCCCCCCACTTTCTTATATATGCACAGTGAGAAGTACTAACTCTGCTCAGTACTAACAATTCTTTTTGCTCTTTTTTTTAAAACCACCATGATAGCATTTGGTACTAATAATTTTTATGTATTCTTTGTCGTTTTCCGAAAGCACACAGATGCTTTATGCAGTTGCAAAAACAGAGTTCTTATAACGTCATATTCTGCTTTTTATCTCTCATTACACGATGAAACTTCCCACACTGCCTCATGCTACTTTTCCTAATTACTATCTTCAATAGCTATTAATACTTGGAACAAAAGGACCATGATCTCATTAGCGATGCCTCTGTACCAGACGTTCACACTGCTTCCAGGTTATAACAACACTGTTATGTGTTGAAATGAGCACCTTCGTGGTGGAGCACCGTCTCTGCATGAACGAGCAGAGGAAAAGAAATGGCTCAAACATGGCTTTAGTGGTTCCTCACAGACGGCCAACCTGCCTTCCGGGACTGTGGGCATACGGCGCCACCTGCACGGCGGAGGGCACTGGCTCTGCCCCCTCCCCCGCACGGCCACGGCTGATGGAAGCTGGAGAGATTATAATGCTTTTCCCCTCATTGTCTGGTTGTATTATTCTTGTTATATGCAAAAAGAATGTGATTTCTTTATCAATCGAGAAACTTCCTCAGGGATAAGAGTGAATGTGGGAAACCTCAGGGTTCCGAGTTCGGCCACAGCCTCCCTTAGAGGCCTCTCTCATAAACAGTGAAATAGACAACTGCTTAGGGCCTGTGTCCAGAAGCTTCCTCGGCTCAGGCTAAAGGGTTCCTGCAGAGCTTGACTTTAACATCTGTTAAAATGCCAGAGGGAGACCTGTGCTGCTTACACCTTTACCTAAGTGGCCCAACTTTTCTTCTTAAAGCCCGTAATTCAGTAAATCAGAGGCTGCCTAGAAACATACGTCAGAAACTATAAAAGGAAACCTGAACAGATTCAACTCTAACTAAAGCCTTGGCCGCCCAGCTGAAGTCCTGACTAAAACCTAATGAGCCCGGCTGGCATGGCTCAGAGATTGAGCATGGACCTAGGATCCAGGAGATCATGGTTCGATTCCCGGTCAGGGCACACGCCCGGGTTGTGGGCTCGATCCCGTTGGGGGCATGCAGGAGGCAGCTAGTCAATGACTCATCATTGATATTTCTCTCTCTCCTCCTTTCCCTTCCTCTCTCTGAAATCAATAAAGATATATTAAAAAACAAACAAAATCTAATGAGAGCCAGCATCATCTAACCTGCTCTTGAACTTCCGTCCCGCAGAAACTGAGGGGATAAAGTTTTTAAGCCAGGAAGCTTTAGGGTATTTGTTACACAAGCACTTAACTCTTACAAGTAGCAACACTTTCATTTCCAAACATGTGGGGGTTCCCTACAGACCTTGTTCATTCAACCTTTTTCCTGCCCAATTACCACTCTCTCCTCTCCTGCTTGGACTCAACTGCAGCCGAATGAGACCCTGGACGTGGTCACAGTCTGAGGCTCTTTCCCTCTCCTCCTCTGTCTCTCCCCGGACAGGATGACCTCTAGGGGCCACCCTCTCGAATGCCCTAGAGCCGTGTCTCTCCCCCACTTGGTCCCTGCCCCTTTACCGCCAGCCCTTCCGCCCCCACCCGTTGCCCTGGGCTGCCTTTCCTGCTCTTTATTCCGTGTCACCCCATCCCTTCTTTCTCTGCAGCCCACACATTTTGTTCCTTGTGCTCTGTTTGGCTGACAATTTCTCTGCCACCTCAATGACCAGAATGCAGAATTTAATCAAGTTTATTTCCCCCTGTTCTGTATTGAGAAAGCAGATTTTTAAATTTAAAAACAGTAGGCAATTAAGTCCCACTGTTGAATGACCACACAGACTGGTTCTTAAATAAATTTTTGTCTATGGAGTAACCGATGCAATTTAGATGAACAACCAGAAGACTAAACAATTCTAAGGAAGAAAACCAAATGGAAGGCCATGTCTTGTTGGTCTCAAATGGAATTTATCCTGTGGAAACAGATTTAATCCTTTCATCGTCGCATTTAATCCGCACACTGTTAGCCTGGTTTCACTTGTAAGGAAAACGGACAAAACGCCAGGGGTTTGGGGATCAGGTCTAGATACATCTGTCACCTCCAGACATGACATGAACCACCTGTGGCTTGTTTCCTACTCCAGCACAGCGCTGGCGTGGACACATTAAAGACTGAATTCACTACTTAGCACACAAGCCCCGTCTGGACGAATGGCACCTGCACCAGCCTTTCTGTTCCATTTGGTTGCTATCAGAACGTCTGCTGGTTCCAGGAGTGTTTGTACCAATCCTCCCGCTGCCACAACTCCTCCAGGAGTCCCGGAGGTGAATCTGAGTGACAGATTTCCCCATTTCCCCACTAAGCTTCTGCTACTGCGAAATCCATAAGCATTTCCCAAACCCCAAATCTAAATGTCATTTAAATTAAATGTTGACAGCTTTCCAAAAATAAACTTGCTGGAAACTTTCTAACACTGTGGATCTTAATCACTGAAGGAGCCAGGGATCTCCTGAGAGTCTGATAAAAGCTACGACTCTCATCAGGAAACTGAAAATTCCGGGTGTTCATAAGCTGAGGGCCCTCCAAGGGGCTGGTCTAGGAAGTCCCTGCCCTCACAGCTTGACCGGCGGTGCTGACAAGCGGACACGTGTCTCAGCACGTTTCTTACCATTGCTCTCGCTTCCTCACGAATGGATGGGACAGAGAGGATGCTGTACAGCGCTCCATTCACGTACGGCTGTATCTTTAAGGGGAGAAAAAACAGTCATTTGCAAGTTCTCACATACTAGACAACACAATCATCAAACAGCACACCTGAGAGCCTCCGGCTGAGAGGACAGTGAGTGTCTCCATTTGCATGTCCCAGCGACAGCCGAAAGAGGTCAGAGCCAGTCTTCATTCCCTCGCAAAGCTGCTCCTGCTGCTTCACTGCACAATTACTGCCACCTGGTCACTCAGGCTAGCAACCCCGAGTCATCCCTGATTCTGCTCTTTACTCTCCCTTGTGGAGTTTCCACACTGTCTCTGATGGGAACCCCTTCTCCATCTGCCTGCTACTGTCCTTGTTCAGACATGTCCCTGACCTAGGCTACCTCAATCTCCAGATGGGTCTCTACCTTTGACATGCACTTTAATCCAACCATTACATCAGTGCCCAAATCCCTGCTCTCCCTACCGCAGACACCTGCCAGGTCGACCTGGGAAGTCTTACCTCCTTAGTGCAGCACATGGGACCCTTCTGGCTTTGGCCTCTACCACCTCCCTCCCTGCCACCATGAAGTGCACACTGCAGAGTCCACACTGCACAGGGGATGCCCCACACCACGCTGCGACAGGCCTTGGCCCTGGTCCTAACAGCTCACTTTGCTGGAGCACACTCCTCACGTGTCTCTCTGAAAAGCTGACTCATCCTTTAAAACGGGCTCAGACCCGTCAGAGGGAGCCCTTCCTGAGCCCCCAACGGAGGCTCCTATTCTGCCCCTCACACGCCTCCACCACTGGACTGGACTTGGTATCGTCTGAGACTTGTACTTATGTTTCCCCTGTTTTGCTCACAGAGGTAACCCCAACATCAGGCCCCACAGGATGAGGGGCATGCAGGTGCCTCACAAAAGAGAGCACCTTCCGAGAAGACTGCGCCCACACTTTCCACAGCAGGGGATGGGGTCACTTCCCACCACTGGTCTTCAAATTTTTAAGAGGACGTTTATTACAGCTGTGGACAGTGAAAGAAGGAGGGTCTAGGATAGAAGAAGCAACAGGAGAGAGCCTGGGGGTCCTGCTTTGGCTCTTTAGAAATGTATGGGAAAGAAAGTGAGCCACGGAGGGGCTGCTGTCAGCTCACTGGAGAGTCAGAGAAAAGGGGCCTTGGAGACAGGTTCATGGGGTGAGCCCAGGATGAGCTGCTGCTGCCCATTGCTCCCCTAATTGTAAGTCTCATGGAGACCCTTAGAGTTTAGGAGAAAGAAAATTCACTCGAAAAGGAGATTTAGTTGGGCGTACCCCAAGGATGGCATGCCTCACTTTTAATTTTTACCAACCTACTGGGTAAAAAATGCATCTTAGAGTTATCTATATTTTTGTTTCCCTGACTACTAGCAAAATTAAACATCTTTTCATGTTTACAGATCAAGATTTACTACTCCATTTATATTCTTTATGCTTTTTTCCTGTTGGCTTTTCTGTTTGAATTTTGCTCATCAATTTATAGGAGTCCTTCAGATATTAGGGATATAAAATTTTTGTCACATTTTTTCTCAGGATATCACTTGTCTTTGACTTTGGTTATGCCACTTTTTTCCATACAAAAGAATCAATGTACATCTGGTCAATTATGTGCATCTTCTCTTCACGGCTTCTGGGTGTTGTCCTCCAAGAACACAACTATGTTGTAGAGAACACATGAGTGTAGCATTTATTTGGGTAGCGAAATATTTCTAGGCTCTAAAATGTGTATAGGTAGGTTTTCCAGCTCATTTTCAAAGCAAATGCATTGCCAACAGTTCATGACATGATTTGAATCCTCTGTGATTCAGTTTTCAGAGCTGACATCTGGTTCCCACACTTGAAACCGACCTCTACTATTACAGACAGAATATATTTCCCACCAGCTTCAACTGCCTGAGCTGAAGAAACAGAGAGCGGAGTTCATTCAGGTCTAGGAGCAGTTAGAAGCTCACCGGCTCTGAAACATAAAGGGCAGGGCACACACTGCAACCACTACCCGGCCTCTCAGCTGACGGGGCTCCTGGGGCACAACGTGAAGAAATGAACAGAACGGGAGCTGACTGTCTGAACCAGGGACAGACATGTGGCAACCACGTGCTTCACTCTGACCCAGCGGACGTAAGACTGACATAAGGGTGGGCCAGCTGTCACAGTGTCTGTGCACCCAGGGAGGCTCTGGCACAGGCCCTTGTGGGGCAAGTGCGGGAATGTCCACTGCCAACCAGTGTGGAGCAGAGTTGGAGGCAACCAAAGTGGACAGTCCTGGGAGCGGCAGGTAAGTGGGGGCTGCAAGCAAGGGCCATTCTGCAGGAGTGAGCTGGCCGTCACAGAGAGCATACAGAGCAACACAGAAAGGTCCCAAACACGCAGGGGAAAAAGTAAGACAAGTAATGAGAGCTGGGCTGCAACACTATTTATACAAACTAAATACACACACAATCCTAATACGCTGTCAGACTACCTACACGTCCACAGACGCATGTTAAACACGACAGAGGAGTGTCCACGTGGGGGAATGAAGCCCAGAAGGATGACAAGGAGAAAAGGCAGGTTCAGGAGGGGGCCAGCAGGCAGGGCTGGTGGCATGCAGGAAGGGGTCCTGCTCCCGAGCGTAGGATTCAGAAATTAGGAGAGCTCTGAAGCAGCTCATACACACACTCGCAGGAGGAGGAGTGCGGTGACTGTCCTGGGCAGTCCCCGAGCCCGGGGCCAGCAGCGCAGACTGAGTACCTCGTGGTTTTCGTGGCCCAGCAGATCCGAAAGAACTTTCAGCACGAGGCCCGCTACCGAGGCGCACATGTTCTTCCCTGAACAAAACAAAACAAGAGCCACATGTCAACTCAGAAGCACAGTTCCAGGTCAGCAGACCTGAGTACAGATCTTGGCTCCTCTGCTTATGAGCTGTGCAGCCATGGGTGAGTCACTTAACTAATCTGGGCCCGTTTCTTCCTCTGGGATCCCTCAGGATTATGAACATCTACCCCAGCAGGTGATGGGGACTGAAGTGACAGGACAGGCCGGCACACTCCTGCGCTCGGTAAATGGGGTCATTTTCCTCCAGGCAGAGCACAAGCCTCTCATTCCAGCGAGAGTCCACATGTCACAGAGCAGCTTCCTGCCTCACGAGAGCACAAACCTTCACAATCAAAATCATATAGGTGTTTTAGTGACTCCATGTGTCACCACAACACTCACTGCAAATAAACTGACGATAATAATAGAAGCCGACTGTGACCCTAATAAATACTTTAAAGCTAGGACTCTGTGCACAGCTAGTTTTAAAACAGAAGCTGGAAACAGTCATTGACTCGTAAGGTCAACCACACCAGAACTTCAGGCCACAAAGCATCTGAGGGAGCAGCAGCCTCTAACGGCCTGGAGCCACTTATCCCGCAACCTGCCAACACGGGGCGCTCAGGCTGAGCTCAGCACAGCTGGACTGGGCACCTCGACCAAAGCTTCTTTCATCCCGGGGATCAGGGCACTTAGAAGCGACGGAGACTGGAAAAAGCTAAATCACTACCTCTATTGATCAAGTATGGGAATGACCTGTGATGCCCACGTCACCTCGGGGTGAAGTGGGTGAGCGAGGGCAGCAGCATGGTTGCTTCTCCCTGCCTGCCACCGACTTAAACCTGTACAGTCTTGGGAACATATTCTCCTTCAGACAAAAGTGATCCTAATTCTTAACTTCCTACCTTTGAATAACACAATGAAGAAAAACATGAACTAATTAATTTCCTCTTAATGCAGGTGCTACATACATATATAATACATACATGCAGTTATATATACGTGTGTGTGTGTGTATATATATGTTTGTGAATTTATATGTAGCTATCACACATTCTTTCCAAGGCCAGAGTGGTATTTTGGCCTCAGGGGTTCACAGCTTTATACCCAGCTGGAACTGCTTTACACTCTTCCTGCATCCAGTTTTCTACGAGGGAGACCAGGCTCATGGGTCATTAGATTCCAGGGTCAGGCCTCTTCCCCTCCCCAACACGGAGCCAGGGCTGCAGGGCTGGGGCTGGGGGAGTGCAAGACCTGCGCTCCGGAGGCAGAGGTTCATGAGCAGGGCCACCGAGTACTCCAGCGTGTAGTCAGAAAGGCAGTCAGGCTCCTTCAGGAGGTCGATCAGCCAGAAGATGAGGCCATCCTGAATCATGGCTGTCTGCAGCGGGCGCCTAGAAGGAGACAGGCCACAGGTCAGGCCAGCTGGCGAGAAACTCCATACAGCAGCGCAGGGCAGCAGGGAGGCAGGAGCGCAGGGCAGAAGGCTGAGTGACCGAGACGCTGATGCTATGGAACAGCTCACTGTCAGAACCACTCAACTGAAACAACAGACTCTTTACCTTCTGCAAGTATTATTAAGAGTTTAAAGAATGACAAGACAGTGAGGAGGCCTCCTGCTTTGAAAGTTTCCTTTCTGATATTTAAGATATTTATTGATAGCTTTTGGACTACTTAACCCAGGAAGCAGAGCCATGGAAATAATTCACTGACAAACAGATTTTTACTGAATGCTAGTCTGCTATAATCAAGTGCAGGCACTTTGCGCCCATGCTCTTTACTGTGTAAAAATAAAGAAAAGCATAAAAGGGAAGCAAAAACCAGCTCAATGCCATTTTGACTCAGATCTCTACAGAGTACGGATGATTTAATGACCTGGGTAATACAATATATACAGAACTATTTTCCACCCAAAGTCCAGGTGTCACATCTTACAAAATCCAGTGCCTCGTCGGATCGTGCAACACTGCCTGACAGCACACGGCCTTAAGAACTGATAACACTAAGCCTGGTATCCGCATGAGAAGTCACCTGAATTCTCTGAAAATCAGAATAGCTCTGCACATCTCCTGGGGGACAAGTCACAGTGAGACCACCATGGGTATGGCATCTGCTTGTGCTGCTCTTCATACCCACCTGCTCAGTGACAGTTATTAGAGTACAGAGAGGGCAGCCCTCTCCCTGAGCCTAACTACTTTCTACGGTCATTGCAGTGACCCTGGAAAACTGTGAAAACATTAAGCACGTTTCCAGAACAGAAAGCTTAAACGATTGTTTGGAGGAAAAGGCAAAATTGGCAGTCGACAGCTGTATTTACCGGGCAAAAGTATTTTTTACCTTATCTTAGCTGTTACTTAACTACAGCTATTGAGTTTCTAAAATTTTTCCAGTCAGCACCAAGCTGTTATCTTTTTAAACAAACAGAAATGAAGTGTTTATATGTTCTGAAGAAATAACAACTCTGGAGATTATTCACAGTTCTTTTCAATTCAGAGTTAGAATAAGAGATTTTCCTCATTGGCAGGACCCTGGCAAATAGCAGGAGCTAAATACCTGCCACTGTTTTGCACCAAGCACATGCACACGTAGAATACGTCACGGGGCAGGCTGGCAGGTCACCCACGCTTGATGGGACAAAAGTGCGTTCAGAAGAGGACCGACCGTCAGGAAGGGCTGAGGACTCAAGGTACCAGAATTATAATAAAGTCAAAGAGAATGTGAGGTGGTCCTGGGGGGTGTGGATGCTGGAAGAGTCAGCCTAGGACCCAGCGATTCCTACCCAGGAGAAAGGAAAGCATGGCCACACCAAGCCCCGCATACAAGTGCTCACAGCGGCATCACGCATAGCAGCCCAAATGCGGGAACCACCCGGATAGCCACCGACTGATGAGCGTGCGCTATTGCACATGGAATGCTACTCGGCACAACATGTATACAATGTGGGTGAACCTCAAAAACATTACGCTAAGTGGAAGAAGCCAGCCACACAAGAGCACACATTATCTGATTCCATTTACATCAAATATCCAGTGCAGGTAAGTCTATGGAAAGTAGAGTCACAGTCACCTGGGGCAGGGGTCGGACAAAGAGTGACTGTAAACAGGCATGAAGCTTCCTTTTGTGATCATGGGACTGTCCTAAAATTAGACTGTGGTGATGGCTATACAACTTTATAAATTTACTAAAAATCACTGACTTGTATACTTAAAATAGGCAAATTTGGTGGTATGTAAAACATACCTCAATAAAGCTGTTGATTAAAAAAAGAACACTCTGTGAGGACATCAGACCTGGCTCAGAAGGGAAGTCTGACTTTAAATTTCTGACGGGGAGCAGTTCCAGGTCACGAGAGGGTCAGGGCTGGGACTCTAGGGTGTGTAGCTGGGACATATGGACAGGGTCCTGGAGGCGCCAACCCTGCCTTCCACAGAGCCACCTCTCCTACTTGCTGTGACTGCTCACTGTGGGACACGCGGACTGTGCACCACTGGGAGGCTGAGGCTCTGTCAGGTTTCATTTATGGGTCTCTTTCAACCTCTGAAGGCTGAGACACAATCGTCCTGGTTAGGAGACTACAGTAGCCCTTTTAAACTGTCTTCCTGCTCGGCTGATGTGGCTCAGGGGTTGAGCATCGACCTAGGATCCAGGAGATTGCGGTTCAACTCCCAGTCAGGGCACATGCCCGGTTGCACGACTCGATCCCCAGCCGGGGGCGTGCAGGAGGCAGCTAATCACTGACTCTCTCATCATGGATGTTTCTTTCTGTCTCTCCCTCTCCCTTTCTCTCTCCGAAATCAATAAAGACATATTTATTTTTAGTTTTTATTTTTTTAAAATATATCTTTATTGATTTCAGAGAGAGGAAAGGAAAGGGAGAGACAGAAACATCAATGATGAGAGAGTCATTGATCGAGCCCGCAACCCGGGCATGTGCCCTGACCTGGAATCGAACCCCGATCGCCTGGATCCTAGGTCAATGCTCAACCGCTCAACCGCACTGAGCCACACCCGGCCGGGCAATAAAGACATATTTAAAAATAAATAAATAAATAAACTGCCTTCCTCCATCCACAGCAGCCTGAGCAAGGCGGTTTTGCGGATGAGAGACGAGCTTTCTAGCTCTTAGGAGTCACCTAACCTGCCCCAGGTGTTGGCTGAGTAATATCACCTGCTTCTTGGGTTGTCACTGGGACTAAATAAACACAGAACAGTGGCTTATAAAAACTCCAACTTGGTTTCGCAGGAGCCGCCGTGACGGGCTGCAGGGAGCACCTGAGGCTGAACTTCTGCAGGGCCCCGAGCACGTTCTCCCGGGTGATGATGTCCTTGTCCTCCCTCAGCCGCTCCTCCAGCATCTGCAGCACCTTTGTGCTCTGGGCGAGGTAGAGGCGACCTAGAACACAGCCAGAGGCGAACAAGTTAACTAGGGAAAGAGCTCATCTCGTGTGCCATTCATGCTCCAAAACCACTTTCTATAAAACCTCTGCATGTAACACAAGTAGAGTTTGCACACTTTTAGGTTCTAAAAAACTTACAACATATTTCTTCTGCAAAGTTGGTTTCAGTCAGTCAACTATGCAGTGACAGAAAACCACTCTTCTTGGCATCTAAACCTAACTCATCGCAGTGCTCCTGTGGGGGGCCCTGTCCTTGATCCACCTGAACCTGAACCCGAACATCAGATCTAGGACGGGCTGGGGAACCTTCGGGTCATGAGCTGTTAGTCTTTACAACAGAGGCAGCCAAGCAGTGCTTTCTGGCCACACCCCTTGCTCCTTCTGGACATGCCCATGGCCCAGAGAAGCTGGGAACCAGACCTTGAACCCTAGAGTATGGCTTGAACTGTCACTAGCCTGATGTGGACTTGGTGGCTTGATCCAGATGCTAATTTTGAACATAAGTTTCAATCGTAATATATGGATGGTCCTGGCGCATACCCTGGCTTATGATAACTGCTTGCTAGAAGGACGGATCAATGCACAGATAAATGAATGGACACATTTTTGGAGCATCATAGTCATAATTTGAAACTCCCTTTATTCATTTTAAAAAGAGCTCAAACAAGGTAGAACTTCGGACACTAATGACACTTTGTAAAATCATTTCAATTTAGTTATGGTGGTGTGTAACCTCTGAAAATTTTAAATCCTCTTGATTTAAGAGGCTGTGGTCTTTTGCAGGAAATGGTACAATGTATATTGGGAACAGCTTTAAAGGTGTCACCAACGTTAATTTACTGAAGTAGAAAATTATAGAAAATGTACTATCTGTTATATATCGAAAGCAATCCAAAAAGTACAGTTACAAAACCAGAAGGCTTACAAAAGAAACTCCCAAACCATCAACATTTGTTCTAACACAGTCAACAGCAACATGACAACACCCAATTTTCACAAAAAACCTTAGATGCACTGAACAGGAATAAACTGAGGAAACACATCATCTATAAAAAACTTGGAGAGCACCTGTTTTTAAAGGGAAAACCGCATCAGTGAGACCTAGCTCTTCACTGCAGAAAAGTGGGCACCTCACCTTCTGCCAGGGACGCAATGGCGTTGACGAGCCTGGCCATGTACTGGCGCACCACGTCGCTCCTGCCGCGCAGCAGCTGCAGCACGCTCCTCTGCGGGGCACAAAGGGGCAAGAACAGGGAGTCAAAGAACAGTGAGCGGCAACAGGGCCCCTCTGTGGCCCAGGGCTCTCCCTCGGCCTGCATTTATTACAGGTGAGATAGACTAAAGCCAAGCAGGTCATCTGGAAACCTTGACTGCCAACTGATTTTTTCTGATCTGATGAATATCAGTTATTCAAAGTTTTAAATTAAAAGGATTATATGATGGGTACTAGACTTATTGGGGTGGTCACTTCCAAAGTTATATAAACGTCTAATCACTATGCTGTATACCTGAAACTAATATAATACCGTGTCAGCTATAATTGAAAAATAAAAAATTATTTAAAAAAAGAATTACACAAGGCATTAGAACAGTGACTGACACAAAGTCAGTGATATCGTTTGCTCTTATTGGTCTTTTTCCAGCTTAGAAGGACAGATCCAACACACGCTTCCAATTTTGCTCCTTGAAACCACAGTAAAACTCTAGTAAATGGATTTTTAAGAATGACACAAATACTCAAGATCACAGAGAACAGCAAAAGAAATTATAACAACACACTTTTGGAATTGGGAAGACAGAGGGAAACAGACTTGGCAGACTCAAGAATTCCATGTGGGCAATGAGGAGGGGACCCCACTTACATCACTTACCCTCAAAAGGCTCGAGAGCGGGGAAAATAAGAATGAATGAATGAATGAACAAATGAATGAAAACTGTTGAAGGAGCAGCTCATGCTGCTCCTACACCACTGTCCTCCTCTCACCAGAGGCTGGGTGTTCTCCTGCTAAGGCAACATAAGGGTCTCCGGATGGGGGACACAGGCCCAGGCGAGCAGGGCTTCTACATCAAAATGGGGGGGGGTTGTCTAAAGAGCCACCCCCAGTCCTCTTCACCTACCTGGCTCCCAGAGCACTGGCAACCAGACCCTTCCCCTTTAGGGGGGAGATCAGAAGACTGTCCCTGGAGGAAAATGACTGGCCTGAGTGGAAGAACTACAGGTCCTGAAGCCACCTGCTCCTGACAGATGGCCCACCTGGCTCACCCTCAGTGGAGATCTCCATCCACAGGCCCTACCCTCATACTCAGAATTTCCTACTGGCTTTTCAGTCCCCCTCTCTAAACATCAGGAGATAACCAAGGTCTACCAGAAACCCAAGGGAAGTTTCTAACATGGAAAATAGGGCCAAAATAAACAGGGTGCAGGAACAAAAGCAAACTCGGAGGAAATGAGACTGTGCAGGGATAAGAAAACTAAAAATAAACAAAAATTTGTCACTAATATACTTAGAGATATCAGAAGCTAATTGTATCCATGAAACAACAGAATGCTATAAAAAAGGAAATGAAAAACTTGACAGAATGGTTGGAAAATAAAGATGAGAAAAATCTCTCAGAAAGTGGGGTAAAAAGAAAAATATGAGAGAAAAGATAAGAAAATTAGAGAAACAGTTCAAGAGGTCCAGCACTGAGAGAGAGCAGAGACTCACCAACACACCAGCTCAAGAGAAGTTCCCAGAACTAAGGCTGTCAGATTGAAAGGGCTCGAGAAGTGCCCCAAACAGTGAACCTTTCAAAGTAGAGCTCATGAAAGGTATCGTCTAACAGGGGGCAGGGCAGGGGTCTGAAACCAGTTCATCTCACTCCAAACCCCATACTTGTCCCACTAGAACGATCTGGCCCAGAGTCACATACAAATACAGTGTTAGACACACTTTAAGGCAGGCCCAGGTGGAAAACACTGAATTTGCGCCCTGGCCAGGTGGCTCCGGTGGCTGGAGCATCGTCCCGTACACCAAAAGGCTGTGGGTTCTGTTCCCAGACAGGGCACGTACCTAGGTTGTGGATTCCCCGGCTGGCGTGTGTATGGGAAGCAACAGGTCCATGTTCCTCTCTCACATCTGTTTCCCTCTCTCTCTCTCTCTGCCTTCCTTTCTCTCTAAAAATCAATAAAAACATATCCTCAAAAAATAAAAAATAAAAAAAGAAAAAACACTGAATCTGCTCACCTACCTTTCCTAAGTCATGCTCAATCCCAGGACTCATGGTAAAGGAAGGTGAGGGAAAGATCTGGGAATCTGAGACAAGGAAAAATGGCAGAACCGAGCTCCACAGTTGAGTGTAGCAGATCTAACTTGTTCAGGGCTCTGTATTAGATGTGAAAAGTGGGCTGACATCCAGGGTGAAGAGCAGATCTAAGGAGCTAACAGAAGCCCAGGCTGACGTTCAGTCACCGGGCTGAAAATATGCAGAAAATGGAAGCCCCCCCAGCTGCTAGGACCATTCCCGCGAAAGCGAAGGCCCTGCTGGGCTCGGGCTGCGGCTCGCCCACCTGGCCGTGACCGTGACAGTCCAGGAGGTCGTTGCTGACGTAGGCCTGCAGAACGGTCTCCCTCTGCTCTCCAGGATGGGATGTGGTCAAGCGCTGGAATGAAGAAAAGCAACAGTGATATGTCTGACTGTGGAGGAAAATGTTCATGGAGTGGGTGTGTTTTAAACAGCTGTCCCAGTAACTATACATTTAACCAAACAAAATAAGTAGTATGCTGGGGAGCCAGGTAAGCAGCCAACCAGTCCATTAATAAGAAATTATGATGTACTTTTAAGTGGACGAGGTGGGGGGTAGAAGTCAACTTACACGTATGAAATCTTCAGGGAAGTAAAGTGGAAACATGCCTGGGTTGTGCGTGTGCAGAAAAGGGAGAGCTCGCCAACACCTGAAGAGGATTTTTTGTAGAAAGGGGCTCAAGAGTTGGCCCCTGAAGGATGAGCAGACTGTCAGCCAGAACAAGGAGGTGACTGTGGTGGGGGTGGGGGCCAGCTCAGTGAGGCGGGACGTACAGGGGAGGGCACAGGGAGGCTGTAGGGGCTCTGAACGAATGCCATACCGACAAGCTAGACTTTATCCTATTGGGCCTGACACAGCAATGCTGTGTACATGTGCGTGTGCGTGTGTCTGTGTAGCTGGGTAGAATTTTGTGGATTTTGAAAAGCCTAAGTGTGTTATGTTAAGTTAGAATTTACTTACTGCCTGTAGGGCTGGAAGACAAATGGTGCCCGGAGAGCATGTGAAATGGGTGTGTGCTTGTGCACATGGGCTGGGCTAGAGTGAGTCAGGGTGTAAGAAAGCCAAGCAACTCAAGTGAGCCAATATCCTCGCTTTTGCAGGAAAATCTTACTAGATAAAGATCCCTGTAAATAATGGTAGATAAAATTCACATAAACTAAAGCTCTCTGGGGTCCTCAGTAGTTTCTGAGAGAGTAAAGGGGTCTGAAACCAAAGAGCCCGAAACATTGATTTAACCATGATCAATCTGAGACAGGGGGCGAGAAGCAACAATTTATACTTTATTTTCCCTTACAGACGTGGTAGGTTTCACCCCGAGGTCTGCTGGCGTGGCCACATGGTGACAGCGAACACCAAGGGCTTTGTGGATGTGCACCGTGAGAAGGATGCCGTGCTGACACGCTGACCCCAGCAGCTGTCAGTGTGGCTCCTGATCAGGAAAGGGACAGATGACAGGGGAGTCTCTACGGCCTAGAAACTGCTTATGTGAAACTACCTCAGGAAGGCAATGGACATGGTGAAGTCAACGTAGGAGATTTTAAAGACAGGCCAAGGCTACCTTCAGAGCTGTTTTCACTTTAGCTCTTGATGTCAGCAGGCAGCAGGAAGAAAGATTTTTAGTAGATGGGTGAAAGGATGCAGTAAGGCAGCAGCCCAGGAAATCAAGTCTTTTTTTTTCAGCTTTGTGGGAAAGGTACGTACCCAGCGCAGAGCCTGCAGCAAGAAAGCTTTCAAGCGGTCGCTCCCCAAAATCAAATCCTTCTTCAGCTTCTCATAATCCAAGGAGGGCAGCAATGGGACATCCTTCAGTTTCCTACACAGCAGCATAAGTTCAAAGAGAAAGAAGTGGGCAAAGGGCATGTTCAGTATACTCCTGAGGACCCTGACACCCACTCTAGAGCTGCTCTGACAGAATGGACCAGCAGAGGTCTGGTTGCTTCTTCTGTGCTCCTAGAATTAACGCCAGGCTTCCAGAGAGGCCTGGGTTCCAGGCTCCCTACCCCGCTTCCAATAGCTCACTCTGCCTTTCCTGCTGTAGGAACTAGGGCTCTGCATAGCATTTTTCCTGAACAGGTTTGGAAACCACTGCATTCAGATTAGGCCAGGGCTCCCTGTCCCCCATGTGGAGGAATCGCCCTGGAGGTGTCATGACCTTTCACCAACATTCCTGAGCGAAGCCCAAGGACTACTAGCATCAGCAGGCCCTGGAGTTCTACCTAAGACCTGCAGGACTGAGCTGGGAGACTGTGAGGACAGTCAGGGGTCGGGAAACACCTCTGAAGAGTAGGTGCACAGTCGCCCCTCCACAGAGGCAGAGGGCGTGGTGAGGAGGTGGTGAGGGACACGCACCTGTGAGACAGGCAGAAAGGAGGACAATTTGCAAACCTTCCTCAAGAGGATTCTAAGTACAGTGGTACCTCGGTTTTCGAACATCTCCGTTGGTGCACATTTGGGTTTACAAATGCCATAAACCCGGAAAGAAGTGCTTCGGTTTTCGAACACACCTCGGAAGTCGAACATGCCACGCGGCTTCTGCTGAGGGCAAGATCCCGAGGCCCAGCTGTTGGCTGTGGATCCCTCGGTTTTTGAACATTTCAGAACTCGAACAGGCTTCCGGAATGGATCACATTCGAAAACTGAGGTGCCACTGTAAAGACCTCAGAGGAAGTCAGGTTCCAGATAAGAGATCTCTGTTCAGAGGTGTACACAGTGCAGATCTCCCAGCACCTGCTCCAGGTCGGCTGGAAACAAAAGGAACCAGTCGATTTCTTGTCACTAAAACAAGTTCTTCACAATTTGTTTTGTTGTTTTGTTGACTAGAAGATTGGAGTGTATTGAAAAACAGATGAAAACGTAATGTGGTCTGTGGTCTGGTTAACAGTACTGTATCGGTGTTAATTTCTTTGTTAATTTCAATGTTGATTTCCTGGGGAGGAGCATCTCCTATTTTACACAAAAAACGGTAAACCCTCATACACGGGCACACTGATTATTTTGACACTTTTTTTTCCTGAGGCAGATACTATTGTGAATATAAAAACTAATAAAAATACTTTTTAAATTCCAGTTGATAAATAACTGGCCAGTATTTTTTAAAAGTGTCAAGGCCATGAAAGAAAAGCCTAAAGAACAATGTCAAATTAAAGGAAACTAAGACATGACAACTGAATCAGTATGTGATCCTGGACTGGATGCTGGCCAGACAAAGGACACAGGGGACACTGGCAAACGGGTAACAAGGGCTGTGGATTAGATGGTCCTATAGCAGTGTTCATTTTCTTATCTGATAACTATATTGGGCTTGCGTAAAATATTAACACTGGGGAATCTGGGTGAAGGGCACAGGGACTGTCTTTGTATTGTTTTTGCAACTCTGGAATTATTTCAAAATAAAAAATAAATTTTTAATTTAAAATTTAAATAGGCTCTTGCTCTAGACAGAAGAAGTTCCATTTGTAAAGCCAGGTTTGATAATGTTCTGTGGCCGAGGAGGCCAATTAAATTTATTGCCAGCAAGGTTGCCCACCAAGCCCCCGTTCCCGTGGCCGACCCTCTTCACCGCCTCTCCCAGCTACCTGCCTGCACGCTCCGAGGTGACCCTGCCTCTCAGATCACCGGGAGTAACGAGCAAACACGGAAAGCTGACCAGGGCCCCAGCTGCACTGCTTGGTACACAGTAACTCATTTTTATCCTCACAACGATCCCGTGATAGTTACTATCACTATTCCCACTTTACTAGTGAGGAAGCTGAAGTGGACTTTACCCCAGCAGTGAGCTCCTAAGCACATGACGAAGCCGCCATCTGAAGAGAACCAAGCGCAGGGTCAGCGTTGGACTCAGGCCGGACAGAGGCAGGGGGAATGTTGTGTCCATCTCAGGGGTCTGAGTAACCTCACAGCACCCTCCCCCCAGGCCTGGCTCAGAGGACCCCAAACCCTCCCTCGTCCCCACATCCCTGCCAGAGGTGCTCCGCCTCCTTGCTACTGCAACACACATGCCTGGGGGAGGCCCTGAGCGTCAGACACCCCCATGGCGACAACACAATAGGTTTGGATAGAAATGCTCAGGCTCATACAATGCTATCCTGTGGCCCCTCAGCAGGGAACACGAACTTTAGGCATTGCAACACTGCTGACTGCCTTGTAACGGTAAATTAAATTGATTTCTAGAGAAACTACAGGAACTACTCAACAACTTTTTCCATTGGATGCTACCTCACCAAAATAAACAGAATTAACATTAAAAGAGTCTTCTATTTTAACTATATTATTTATAATTACTGGTATTTCCTTTACTATCCATGTGGAGCTCAGCTGTTTGGATGAACACTTGTTAAAGTTGCTTTGAATTCCAGTTTTACCCACAGCTGTCCCACAATAACAACTTCTAAGAGCAATTACTTACATGGGTGCCAAGGAGGCTCTTAACATGGTTGAAGCCTGGGGGGGGGGAGGGCAAACAGAAAAGAACAGGCTGTGTTAAACACTGAGAGCAATGCGCTGACCCTAAATCACTGTGTAGCACAAAATCAACAGACTTGCTAAGAATTCTCCAACCATAATCACATATGATTTAAAAATTAGCCCAAGCCAAAGTTAATCAATACACTACTGATGCACTTCCCAAGCCACCCACCCCTTGGCTTGTGGCTACTCCACTCCAAGGAACAATCTATAAAAAAAATGGGTGGGTTCTCCTGACCAAACTTAAAGCTGTCTGGTCAAAGACAGCAGAGAGAACGAAGCAATAAAAACCATTTAATGATCCTGTTCTTTTCTTTATTAAGATTTTATCTTTGGGAATAAAAAGAACACAGTGTACTTCATACCAAGTCAAACACTATAGAAGTTTTTATAGAAAAAAATAAACAATACCCCTCCCACCCCACTCCCTCTAATCCCGTCTATTGGTCAAATCATTTCCCACTTCATGGGCATTCACACTGGGCCCTCTTTTTTGGGGCCACTATAGGCAATGTTATATTAAACATATACTAAAATACAAATCACCAAAAGCTATGTGTGGCACATGTTTGAACTGTCTCAAATCAAGTGTAAAAGGTATTTTGAGAAAACAGGAATCTGCACACATACCGCCTTGGCATTATTACATAATACCAGGAAATTAGTGTTGGTTGTATTAGGCATTGTGGTCATGACCTGGTTTGTTTTTTAAAGCCCTTGTCTGTTAGGGATATATACTGAATTATCTACAGGTAAAATTATATGTTTGCAATAGGTTTTAAAGAACTCCAGGGGGAAAAAAAGTTACATAAGAGAGGAAATCTCAGCCATCTGCGGGGCCCTTGATGTCACCACAGACCGCAGCTGGTCATGATCCAGTTATCCTGCTGGTCTGTGATTATCTTTCAGTCACTGGTGTCCTTCTCTTTCAGCAGACACTGAGCCCCATGACAGCGGGAGGCAAGTCACCCTCGTGTCTCCAGCGCCCGGAACAGTGCTTGGACAAACAGAGGCACTCAACCGTTTGTCGTATGAGTGAATGAGCAAAGACTGACTTTGAAAGCGGGCATTCCAGAATCCTGGCCTGGTTTCCACACTGGCCCTGGCCGATGACCTTTCTCTGCTGCTTCCCTCCGCAGGATCTACAGAGTGGGCAGGTTCCCACATGGGAGTCACCACTGCCTGCCTTTAAAGGGCTCATGATCATGTATGTTTTTTTATTTTTTAACCCCTGATTTTTTTTTTTTAATTAAAGGGCAGCAGGGGCACAGCGAAGGCAGGACGCCTGGCAAGCGACTGTGAGGGGAATGATTACTAGAAGAGGTTAAAGAACACAGAGGGATACGTAAGGAAAGCGAAGAGCAATGGAAGCAAGGACCAGAGGAGCATCCCCACTGTAGAAGGGAGGCTGCTATGCCAACGCTGTGACAAGAAGGGGGACTGACACAACATGAACTACAGGGCTGTCCGTGCAGGAGCAGACGGCTGGAATGGAAAACTGGGAATGAGATTTGGAAATGGAACTAAGTAGGTGGAGAGGGCCTGAGCGTCGGAATGTGCTCATAGGTTCTACAGAAGCTTCTTAGGCAGGAGCCTCTCGGGCTCATCAGGTCACTGAGGTCACCTGCTTTGTGGTTCTGAGAGCAGGGAGCTGGGCATGGTACACAGCACACCCACACCAGTGAGGATGCTGGGGCTGGGGTGCTGGAGCTTCTCGGGGCTTCTGGACCATAGCTGAGCCTGGGGGAATAGAGGGGCATCAGGTCATGGAAGACTCTGGACTCCATGCTGAGCATTTTGGACCTGAAGCAATGACAGATATTAAGCAAGGGAGTAGCATGATCAGATGCCTGTAGGCACCTAAATCCTTCCTGAAACATGAGGGCAGAAATAAGATGCATCCGGAAAGGTTACTCCGGCTCCTATGTGAGTGACAGAAAGGCAAGAGCTTTGAGACAGAGACTATTGGGCAACATTGCTTTAAGCCAGGACAGAAACAGAGAAGCCCGAACAAACATAAAGCAACAGGGAGGAAGGGAGGAAGCCTCCTCAGATCCTGATGAGGGCCTGCACACAGGGCAAGGGAGAGGGGAGGGCCTTGGATGGTTCCCACGTGCTCCCTGGAGTGCCGTTCAGGAGACAGAAAACACGAG